ATGTCCCCTTCAGGCTGAATACTCAAAATATCCCCCAACTGCTGTAGGAAACTGTTGCAGAAAAATGGTGTTAATGCTCCACATAATGTAAAACTTAGGCTGGGCCCTAAAGTACAGTTTCACAGGGATGGAAAAATTGATCTTTTTGCTGCTTCATGAAACGCCAGTGGTTTTGAGTGATTGCTGCATGTCTTCAGGATATAAAAATGAAGGACGACAAAGGCCAAGAGCTTTTGTCCTTGGCCAAGTGCTGTAAGGGTCCTGTGCTACAAAAGTGAGAGAGTTACTGTTGATTTCAGCAAGTACAAGACAAAGTCCAGATTAAGCACATTATTGCTATTATATGATAAAGAAACATAAAAAAAAATAAATATTTAAGGAGGGCTGATAGCACATTCATTCATTATTCTTTGTATAACAAATCATAAAGCTGGAGTTGCAAACATAGAACTGGAAACATTTGTTAAAACAGGGTCTGGTTCTACACTGGGACCATTTACTCACATTCATTTGTGAAACTTTCTGCATGAAGTGGGATTGCAGGATTTAAACTCATGTTTCTGAACATTTTTAATAGTTGGGTTTGTACACATGAACTACTAAACACTTTGGATGCTGCTTCTAGAGACACTTATAAAAAAGTATCAGAAGTCTCCATGACATATGCTGTTGTTGGAATTGAGGCATATTCAAGTTGCAGGACTTTAAGAATAATATCAGAGAAATGGCTAGTTATATTTCTTTAGCTGAATCATCTTTTTTCAATAAAAAGGTATTACAAATGATTTTGTGCTAGCAATTGGTGCATTATGCCCAGTTCCTCTTACATGTGAAAGTCCAGGTTCACGTTTGTATTTTTCAAGTGGTTTTGTGTTTGTTTGGGTTTTTTTTTGTGGTTTGTTTGTTTGTTTGTTTGTTTTTAATTTTTTTTTTTTATATATATTTTGTACCTTTTTTTCTGGGTTTTGTTTGTTTATTTGTTTGTTTTCTGATACAAAGTGCAAAAGATTTCATTTTGCATCTCTCTGTCTTTTGTAAAGTACACTGTGGATCAAAGGAAGTCTTAGGCTTGAGAACCACAGAATAGCTTAGGATAGAGATTAAAAGCATGAGCAATATAATAAGATTTTCCGAGGACTCTGGACTAAAAGCAATGCCTTCCAAAACATACATTGTACCTAAATATTTGCATGTATTAATATACCGTATGCTTGGTTTAACAGTACACATTTAACACATAAGTCTACCAGATACAATAGTCTCTGTGGTACAGAATATTTCCTTGCGATATCCTGCTGGTTTTGACACCTCAGTTTTAACTTTTTCTATAACTTGATCTGAAAATGATGACCAGCTTTAAATCTATATAACTTGAAGGCTTTATCAGTAAAGCCCAGCAGAGTTATATTTCTCTGTGGCTGTGATGTTGAAACCTGGTGAAAATCAATTTTCCTTTTGCTGAATGGTATATTTGAAGCATTTTAAAAAGGTGAATGAGTGTACTGAGGGCCTGTCATTCTTGAAGTACTTTCTTATGCAGCATGTGTAGGTACATCTGCCTGTTAGCCCTGAGAGGCTGCATGTGTTTGATGCATTGGATGTTGTGTCAGCAGGGAGGGGAAAAAGAAGAGATGAGGTATATCAGAAGGAAAGCTGATAGCAAATGGTGTTTTGAACAGCCTGTATCCCCCAGTGTAATATATTATGGAAATAATGATTCTGAGAAGTGATGCTTCTTTGTAACCTAAAGTGATACAGTAGGGATTATGCATGCTGAAGTCATTCAGGACCGGGTACTTAATTATCTAGAAATGCCATAAGAAGTGTCTTTATCGTGAACAACTTTGTTATAGATGCAGTGGCAAGAACTTTTTACTAAAAAGAAAAGTTGTTTATGATTATTATGATGATTCTGAGTTATGATGATGATGATATGCATTTAGCTAGCAATGGGAGCAAAAGTGGTATTTTTAATTGGTTTTATAGAGTAAGGTGCTTTTATTTCTGTGTGTGATTTAATGACATGTTAACTTCTATTTAGGGATCAATTGTATGATTTAGCTCATTTTTAAGCTTGGTCAGACATAGCTGGTTCAAAACCATAGCTATTTTGTTGATTAATTAACATGAATAGACAATGAGAAGGGGGCTAAAGGTTTACAGGGAGGTGTCAGGAAGCCAGAACAAATACAATATGAATGCAAAACAGTGTGTAAGGAAAGGCACTGAGAGGACGTGGAACAAAACGTGTCTGACCTGTCCACTCACATTAAGCACAGATCAAGAAATGCAGTCCAAAAGGCAGGATAAAGAGGGTATACATCCTGCCTTTCATGTCAATAGATTGGTTTACCTGTTTGCTCTGGTTCACAGATTTCCTTGCAGTAACAACAGATGGTGTACCTTGCCAGAGGTGGATACTCTGGCTTCAACTGATTTGATGATTCTTTTCTTCCCCTGAAAAATATGGGGACACAAAATAAGCTTTCATAGCTTACTGCACTTTAGGAATATTATGTAGTATGAGAATTATATACAACATAATTATCTTTAGACCTACTAACATATACAGTCTGCAGCGTTGGACTTTCTCTTCTTCCTCATGTTCTTCTACCAGTGTTTTTAGTTAAGGAGAGAGGAGGAAAGCCAAAATGCAAAAAAAAAAAAAAAAAAGAAAAAGCAGGAAATGTATTTAAGAGTGCATTTAAGAGTTTTGAATGCTGCCTTGAAATGCTGATAAATCACTGAAATTTTGTTTTGAAAGGAAATTCCTTAAGAATGACTCTTTCAAGTGTACTTTGTACAGATGTTAAGTAGGAATATCACATAGTACATTTAATTTCCCTAATTAAAATCTTCCTCTTCTCTGTTCCTCTTCTATGCATTGCTATACCTTCCCCACATACACAGAGTTAACTAATACCAGAGGAAATGAGTTCACTTTGCTTCACTGGTTAAAAAAATGAATACTATGACCAACGGAATGAAAAAAAAAAAAAAAAATTATAAGCTAAAATAAAAGGCAGAAAATGTTGAGAACAAACTGAGGTAATATAAAATTGTTTTGTGATAAGTATGAACATTAACAATTTTGGACATCTAAAAATGGAAAATTAGCAATTTGAAAACATTTATCTGGATGAGATAGAACATTATACATGAAACATAATGATCTCTCTGAAATTCAGCCAGGATGCTGTGGTACTCATTTTGACAAAGAAGACAACTAGTTAATCACAGGAAAGAAAACTAGACAGAGTAAATTAGTTTGCTGCATTCCAGACTCTTAGCCACAAAAAGAATATATTTCACTAATTAGAGAGTGAAAATGCCCTAAGCTTTTAGACAGAGAATGTAAGATGACTGAAAGAGAGCTATGCTGATTCTGAAATGGTTTATCAACCCATGGTGTTTACATGATACAATTTTATGATTTTATCAGTTTGGCAGCCTACATTAAGGTGTCTTCAACTTTGATTATATTGATTATATAGAACATAATAGTTCATCATGAAAATTGTCATGCATGGCTTCAATCCTTAATTTTCATGGGCTCTTAGAGCCTCTAATGAAATGTAAATAAACAATTTAAAACCCACATGAATATATATGTTACAATAAAAAAGGCTGGAAACTTCACAATTAAAATAAGAATTTCACAATCAATTTTTAAGTTTTTTAGAGGGTTATTGTTGTGATTGTGCTGTAGACATTTTTACCTTATAATTCTATTGTTATCCATAATGCTACAGGAGAGTGCATTCTAGATATTTGATTTCTAGCTCCTTTAAATTGAAAAAGAGAAGTACATTTGCTTGTTGCAAGGGATAAGAATCCATTTTTATCTGACAACTGTACATCATTTTACACAGTGAAAGCTTTATATACAGTTCTGGAGTAAAGTTGTTCTTTTTTTAATCTAGAAAAATATTGAAAATTTTCATAATCTATGTTCAAACATGTAAGTATAAAAACAGTACTAAATTCTGTACTTGAAAAAGTTATAAATAAATTTGTCTCTAATTTTAATTTCCTTTCCTACATCTGAATCTGCTTTCAAAATATGACCAAGTTCCTGTACACAAGTATGTCTTTTTGCTTTTAGCTGCAGGAGACTAAGGATCAGGTCCTCTGTTTATTTATCTTTTGCATGAGCAGTGCTACACCCTTGAATTATTTCCATTGAATTGAAAGAGAACAATATCAAGTTCTGCATGGTCCCAATGCAATAGCTGTTTTTTTAAAGAACCATGGTTTTACAGGACTTCTGTGCTACGTTCATATAGACAGCATGTATGTTGGAGGAAAAGTGTGATGTTTGGCCTCCTTTGCAACTGCAAAGCAGCAGAAAATATGCTGGCTTTCTTTTTTTTTTGTTAAACATCTTAAATTGTCTCGCACTTTCAAAAAACGCCAAGACTAAATATGAAAACTTCAGCTCTAAAGAGGGAATATCTGGGAAGGGCTTGAACTAATGAAAAATAATGGGGTTAGTCTCTCAACAAAGTTGTTTTCATCATCACCAAGTCATGTCATAATCATGGTAGTGTGACAGATTAGTTTTTAAGCAGAATTAGAATCATTTACATGAAATCAAACTCAATTGTGGTTTTGTTTCTAAAATATTATTTTTATATGCATTTCAGAAACATGCAATCAATATTTAGACTTTTAATTTACTATATATCCATCTAAAAGTGTACTTTGCTATCTTAATCAAAATTAATTTGCTTAATTGTTATTCCTGTCCCATCGGTCTGTTTTGCACTAACTTGAACAATGCCACTTTTTGCTGTTTGCACTTAAATTTCTGTGCTAAGTTTATGAACGGTAATAGGGTCCTGCTTGAATATTCATTAGCTTTGAATTGTGAGCCATGAAAAGGTGCTTTCTTTTACCTTAATGAAAGTGGCTCAGCATGGGACGGATCAGTAATGACATTTGATTTTAGGCATCCAACAAATTTGCTTTTTATTTATTGACACATCTTGTCCAAACAGCTCCCTCACAAGTTAGTGGAGTAATGAAAGAGAGAGTGCTGCAGAGAAGCGTGGAGCTCTCCTGGCAGGAACCAGAGCATCCCAATGGAGTCATTACTGAATATGAAATCAAGTATTATGAGAAAGTAAGTGCTAAGATCATCTGTAATGTACAACATTGTGCTGTTTGCTTAGTGTTGGCTTGCTGTGTTGTGGAATAATGTTAAAGCCATCACCTATCCACTATCCTGTCTTTTCAAAGTCACAGTGGTTTTACTCAGTTTTAATAACTTGCAAACCCCTGCAATTATTATTGCTATCATATGTCTCATATATTGCATTTTGGTATCCTAAAAAATATCCACTTGAAATCTGCCCCTTTTTTCCCACTTTTTATGGTTGTTAAGTTGGACTTTGATGTTTTACCGTGATATTTGCCATTTTCCTGTCTCTTCTACATTGTGTTTATAGCTTGTTTAATTTCCTTCTGTGTTACTGTAATTCCAGTCTTGAGATAGTATATCAAATACAACTATTGATTACATTTACCATTTCCTTATGAGCTGGGCAGCTCTAACCTGGTGTCTGAAAACTTCTATAGCGCTTGCTGCAGTTCCAGTTTATAAATTTTCCTTTTTTGTCCTTTTAAAACGTCCCAGCATTGTGAAATTTATTTTTCACTTGTTCTCACCACACAATAATGAATTGAGGATTGCTTTTCAATAGTAGATGAAGTGATCTCTGTTTCTGTTAGAGTGAAATTGCAATCTTATTGGTGTCACTTGGAATTTTGCCATTCATTTCAGCGTGTCTAGGGCTTCATTCATGATAACTTTGAAGTACTCCAGAATAAAAAAATTCTGACAAGCATGTAAGTACGGCCACATGCAAGCATAAGCTGAAAGCAGAGTGAAGGCAGCCTATGCAGCTATATGTTTGTCGTGAGACCCAGACTGAGTGTGGCTCCTCCAGATGCCTTAGCAATTTTACAGTAGCATGCAACATATATTTAATCTTTATAAAACACTCTAAGAGAAAAAATAAAGAATTAAAATGCAAAGAAATTAATGAAGGAGATGTTTTGTGATCATTTGTGAAGACATTTCATCTGAGCAAACAAGGTAGTAGCACCTCTATATCAAAAAGAGCATGTCAGCTTACTAGGTAACATAGAATTAGTTAAATTCAGGCCAGATTTGATCTGATATCGAGTACCACATCTAATTTTCAGTACTGAATTACACAAATCTACTTATCAAAAGATCTTTATATGATTTGGGGAGGGAATAAAATGTTTGTTGATGCTAACTCCCAGTTTGAGTTGTTCACTTTAATTACTCTTATAACAAAATTTACCAGATATGAAAAAAATAGCTAAGCAGTTTTTTAAAAGAAATTTTGCTAATTTTAGCTGGTATTTTTTTGTTCCTCAGGCATCTATGTGTGCACAAGTAAACACGAGTAAAGCCCATACATTCTTTTAAAAAAAGTTTACATATTTATCAAAGACAAAACTGTTCACTGCACAAAAAAAAAACCAAAAAACCAAACCAAAAACACACACAAAAAAAAACCCAAACACCGAAACAGAAACAAAAAACAGGCTACAAACAAAAAAAATGGTTTTCTTAATATGCAGAGTAGTTTTTAATCTGTTAAAATAAATAATTTAAATAAGTGGTAGAAATTGTCAGAAAAATTATCAAGATGCTAGACTTTTCATAAAATGATAGCTTTAAGAGTGTGGCTCTTTAATGATTTTATTTTAAATAAACAGCAGAATTTCATTGTCAGTTTTCTTTTTGCAAAGACAAAAATTGGTGTTAAATTTCTTTTGTAATGGAAGAAAACTTAGCAGGATTATACTATTACAGGAAAATTAATAGAATAAGAAGTTCATCCTACAGTCACAGATGTTCTATGTACCTTTAATTCAGTGAGACAATTTTAACACAAACACTTAAATGCTTGTGTTCCTTCCAAAATAATTTAATTCAGCTTGAAAAGTACTTCATAAACTTCTTGCTCAGAATGAGGAAGGCATTTTATGTTTTATTCCATTAGTTTAAAAAAAAAAAAAATAAATTGAACTTTCAGCTCTTTTTAGAGCCAAATTAAATCAAACATTTTTGTGGTTCTGAAATATTCTGATAAGTGTTGCTTTCACCTCTCACTTCTGGCTAAGGCTTGAATAGAAACTGCCTGAAATCTCCCAAGTAAGCCTTTCCTGTGAGATTTCAAGCGCAGGTTATATTTATTTCTTTGTTATGTATTTATTTGGAATGCGAGAACTGTTGGCAATTCAAATAAGCCTCATTTATGCATCAAAACCCAAACTCAGAAATTCCACTGTGGCTTACAGTCCCAAACTTGACTGTTTCTGGTTTCCTTACACTTGTTTCTCATCTCCCAAGTATTCCTGTTCTTTCTCACATACCAACATACATTCCACCATGGTCCTCACTTAATTTGATTTAAATAATTAATATATAATTAATGATTGAAACCCTCTTGGAGAAGACACAAAAAATTGTTGCTAGCCAAACCGACGGGCTTGCTCAAATGACAGACTGGGCAAGACCCAGGAGAAGCCATTACTGAATCTCAGAAAAGACATCATGTATGTTGTATTTAACCCTGTATTTCAGCAAAAATCTTTGCTGCTTTACTGTCTGCAGAAGGGAAAGTTCTTCATTTTTAGCTGGTGAAGTACTATTGAAATGAGTTACGATTTATTCCTTCCCTGTCCATCCGTCTTATTAGCACTGCCTCGTATAGCCCATGCTTCTCTGGTGCATTCAGATGGTTGGTTAATTCATCTCTTCTGTCCTTCAAATCAGGGTTGCACCTGCCACCACAAATCAACAGGATTGCACATATCTATGCTGTAAGATAATCTGGATCAGTAAATGTGATGAAGAAGTAGAGCTTTTTGAATGCTGTAATGATCTGTGATACAGCTTTTGTACTATTTGAAAGTGAGTTATTACTCATAGGGTTTGTAATCTTACAGCTTCAAATTTGGGGGGTGTTGTACGGAGCTTCTTTCCCTGGGTTCTTCTCGATGACATAGAGTCAAAGCCTGAGAAAAGACTAAAAGCCACAGAAAAAAGAAGCTAGGTGAAAACTGAGTTAAGCACCTCAGCATTTGCTGCAAAATCCAGCCAGTTGTGCATTCACAGTACTGTATTTTTAAATTGAAAGGTAACAAGGGAAGGTGTTCTGACCACGAAAGAACACACTTCCCTGTCCTTGAACTGTTTAAATCCTACAGATTCCTCCGGAAAGCTGTGGTCACGCTCTTTTCTCATCAAAATTTCACAAAATGTAATCAGAGCCAAAGAAGCGATCATTTTATGTCTGAATGTTTTATGAGTAACAACATGAGCATCCCATTTGAATTTTATGTTACACTTAGAACTCGTCATTGTACTGACAGTGTTCTGTAACACTCCACAGAGCATGCTTTATCTTTTATGTTGGAGGAAAAAAGCATTCAACAAATTGAAATAAACTACCCGGCTGGTGGTCAGTTGCTGATATGCAACCATGATAAAATCTGACCCATAAATGTCATTTAAACTTTTATCTTATTGTTTCCAGGATCAAAGGGAGAGGACCTATTCAACAGTGAAGACCAAGTCCACTTCAGCTTCTATTAATAATCTAAAGCCAGGAACAGTGTATGTTTTCCAGATTCGTGCTTTTACCGCTGCTGGTTATGGAAATTACAGCCCCAGACTGGATGTTGCCACACTAGAAGAAGCCACAGGTAAACAATTAGCTTTACAGGAAATTAACACTTTCAGTAGAAGTAAAGCAAGAAAGCAGTCATAGTCAATATTATCAAAGCTAGAAAGAAATAAGTTCTACATGAAGGTGGATTTTTCTCACTGTATTTTGAAGGATCAGCTTCAATTACTTGTTTTACAGTAGAAAATCCAACATGCCAGACCACTGGAGGGAGGATTAAGTCAATACATCACTCACAGCATAGGGTGTGAAGAAGGGAGCAACCTGACTCCAGAACCATGCCATGCTTGATGGAAGTACCCAGGTGATCAGTCCAAATCATCAATCCAAATTATAATTGGATTATAACTGCCAGGAGAGAGACTTATCATCTTGTCTCACTATCCTGGGAGCTCCACTTGTTATAAAGGGTCCAGGAGCCCTTTCAATGACCCCACATCCACTGCGTAAACAAACCTCCCAACTGCACTTCAAGCAGAGTCAGTTCTTATTGAGGTGGTTTCTTGTCCCACCTCCAAGTTAATGTGGAAGGCAGGGGCACCTGGTGGTGATCTCCTAATCAGTTCCCACCCAAGACTGACCAGACCCTGGGTGAAAACGAATCAGGAAGGTCCTGGCTGGCATCATCCATATGCCAACCCTCATTCAGGGCTGGGGATTTAACCCCAGCACTTCAGCTGGACATCCACAAATCCATGGGCCCCAATAGAATGCACCCACGAGTGCAGAGGGAGCTGGCAAATCGTATTGCTAAGCCACTCTCTATCATCTTTGAAAGGTTATAGAGAACAGGAAAGGTGCCTGAGTTCTGGAGGAAAGCCAGTGTCACTCCAGTCTTCAGAAAGGGCAAGAAGGAGCACCAAGGAAACTACAAGCCCATCAGCTTCACCTCTATCCCTGGACAGATGATGGAACAGCTCATTCTGGAGGTCATCTCTAAGCCTGTGGAGGAAGAGAGTCTCAAACGTAATTAGCATGAATTCACCAAGAGAAAATTGTGCTTGACCAATCCAATAGCCTTCTGTGTTGTCATGACTGGCTAGGTAGATGAGGGGAGAGTGGTGGATGCTGTCTACCTTGACTTCAGTAAGACTTTTGAAGACTTTTTACACTCTCTCCCATAACGTTCTCATGGGTAAGCTTGGAAAGTGTGGGTTAGAGAAGTGCACAGTGAATTGGACTGAGAACTGACTGAGTGGCAGAGCTCAGAGGGTTGTGATCAGCAGCAGAGTCTAGTTGGAGGCCTGTTGCTAATGGGGTTCCCCAAAGATCAGTAGTGGATCCAGTCCTGTTCAACGTATTCATCAGTGACCTAGATGGAGAGGCAGAATTTGCTGATGATACAAAACTGGGAGGAGTGGCTGATACACCAATGTTGTGGTTTATTCCCAGCGACCAACTAAGCACCATGAAGACACTTACTCACTGCCCCTCTACCCCCACCACCCTGATGGGATGGAAATGAGGGTTGACCTGCTGGAAAGCAGCTCCACAGAAAAGGACCTGGAAGTCTTGGTGGACAACAAGTTATCCATGAGACAGCAATGTGCCCTTGTGGCCAAGAAGGCCAATGGTACCTTGGGTTGCGTTAAGAAGACTGTGGCCAGCAGGTGGAAGGAAGTTCTCCTCCCCATGTACTCTGCCCTGGTGAGGCCACATCTGGAGTATTGTGTTCAGTTCTGGGCTCCCCAGTTCAAGACGTACTAGGAACTATTGGAAAGAGTCCCCCAGAGGGCTACAAAGATGATAAGGGGATTGAAGCATCTCTCTTACAAGGACAGACAGAGATTTGGGTATATTTAGCTTGGAGAAGACTGAGAGGGAACCTTATCAATAATTATAAATGTTTAAAGGATGGGTGTCAGTAGGGTGGGGCCAGACTCTTTTCACTGGTGGCCAGCAACAGGACAAGGGGCAACGGGCACAGAGTGGAACACTGGAAGTTTCATCTGCACATAATGAAAAAGTTCTTTCCTGTGATGGTGAGAAAATACTAGAACAGTGCTGCTCAGAGATGTTGTGGAGCTCCTTCTCTGGAGACTTTCAAAACCCTCCTGGATGCAGTTCTGTGCTCTAGGTGAACCTGCTTTAGCAGGGGTGTTGGATTAGATGGTGTCTAGACGTTCCTTCCAATCCCTACCATTCTGTGATTCTGTGATTCTTCTGTAAGTGGGGAGAAGAGGGAAGAGATTTCAGCCCATAAAGGCTGTCCTCCAGCTCATTTTTTTCCTGTTTGAGTTCCTTAAAAAAACTCATTATAGTTTCATTTATGTGTGTGTCTCGTTTAAGCTATATGTCCATATTTAGTATCTTTTGAGTTCCTTGGCTAGTTTCAACTTGGTTTAGTAAAGACACAAAGATCTTAAAGATACTAGGTTACTTTAAGGCTCATGTAATATGACGTAAGCTGTGTAAAGAAAAAACATCTCAAAACCCTCACAATGGAAAAATATGAAGTACAAACTCAATACAGTACACCAGAGAATTTGACTCTGACATCTCAGCGGAGGGATAACAGTTTAGGAGTGCTTGCCCTTTCCTTGATGCTGAAACCAATATTTTGCCCTTGTCTAAAAATCACACTGATACTTTTGTTCCTCAGCAATGTAGACGTGTGTGCATACTTAGAGAAAATCCTCCACCATTTGTGTCTTCAGAAAGAAAGTCTTCAAGCCCCTGAGCCCTGGCAGCCATAAGCCAATTCACGGGAACTGCCTGTGTCCCTGACAGTGTCACCACTCTGTCACAGACCTAGGTTTGGTTACTCTGGTTTGGGTCATTTGCTTCAGGCTGACCTTCCTGACAGCAAGTCAGCTAGAATACATAGCCTACAGATTCAGAGGGTATGGATGCCAGGTCTGGTCTCTGCACTCTGTGCGGCATATCTGAGGTGCAGACACACACTATTGCTTCTTATTAATTGCAGCCAGGTGTTGCCTGAACAATTTGTGGGTTCTTAAAACACAGTAGTTAGGTCTTGATTCTACCCTGGTTCCACACAGAATATGAAAACTATCAATAATGAATAATACCACATATCTAATAGACATAATTGAAATAGCAATTATCATAATAGCAGCAATAAACTGTTATTGCTGATATTATTAGCTCCGTGTCTGATAGCATGCTTTCCATCCGTAGAGTTCTGCTTCAGTCAGGAGCAGAATCTCCATTTTGCAGAATGGGAACCTGAGGTACAGCCAGAAGTGATTTCTTATTTTAAATAGATTTCTGGAAACCAAATGAAAATTCTGTAATAATCTGTCATAAATTTCTGCTAATTAGCTAATTTGTTGTCCAGTATGGTTTAAAATTAGTAGATGAAAATGTTTCTCCAACACTTCCTTAATTACCTCATTATTGTCTATATGCTGAATGTAAGTATACTGGTAGCTGCTAAGATTAAGAAAGATAATTTCAAAGGTGAATGGTCTTGCCTGGAGTTTGGTCAACACGTGGAAGATTAGGAAATTCTAGAACAAATGTATCATTGACTATGCTCCTGAACCCGTTTTCTGACTCAGGTGATGAAAACACTGTATAAATCAGCAGTATACTTGGCCAGTATGCACAGCTGATTTTTCTCATGCCACAGGCCAGCTTTGTGTTTTGACATGCCATGTAAAATGTCCTGTGCTTTCATAAAACAGAATTTCAAAACTGGCATATTTTCCATTATATTGAGAGGACATTATAGAATATAATTCCCGTCAAGGATAAACATCCACAATTTTCCTTACACACTTTTCAGAAATAATTAAAATGTTGGTACAAGGATAATAAATTCCTTTAAATTCTTCTAGAATTGTTTTACACAAAAATATTTATTTCTCATATTTTACGTATAGTTTTATCAAAACTCACGGGCTAATCAGGTTAGTCTTTTGTTAACATTTTAAAGGAATACCTTTATTGGACCATTTTTAGCAAATATACCTCAAGTGAAATACTGTACAGGTAAGCAGTAAACTAGTGTTGTGCTACAGCTTAGGGGCATTTTTCCAGTATATTTCTGAATGCAGATTTTAAATATGTCAAATTATGTTAAGAATATATATGTATAAAATGAGAGCATACATATATATACACACATATATATATATATATGAAAGAATATATATAGTGACATATATCACAGTCTGATAGTCACGCCTACCTGAATTTCTCCTGGTACTTCTCTTGTAATAGTGGCAGTGCTTTATACAGGCAGGATATTTCTATTCTATACTGTGTTTGCCACAGATCAAAGTTCTTTAATCATCATATTTTTTTTGGTTGGAATCATTGCTGGTTATTAGAGACAGAAGTCCCTCAGGAAGAAAATCTAAATGCATAGAATATCATTCAGTGATATTACTCACACAGTGATAATTTTATCTTTTCATTCATTGCAGTATTTAAAAGTTATGTTAAATGACATTTAGCCAGTGAATCTGAAGATGATCCTGTGCTTTTTGTAATAGAAGGGGATTTTGCCACTTTTTACAGAGTCTCACTGTTACAGTAAAAGGATTCTGCACAGTCTGGCAGGAAGAAAACTGCTTTTTACTTTTGCCATGAATCAGTTTAAATCAATCAAGGTTGAAGTAGTAGGCAGATGTAAAATTTATTCCTGATGTCTGAAATAACAGTACTACAATTTTTTATAGAAGACATATAATATTTAAGAATAATATTTGGCTTACATGAATCTAATTTATCATTAAAGCTTTCATAGTGGACTTCATCAGGTATTCTTTTCTGCAAATCTTGCATTTCGAGTTGCTTGCATGAGAAAATGTCGCTGGAGAAGCAGCACAGTTTTCAGAGCTGATCTTTTTTAAATCCTCCAGGGTGTTTGGGTATCCATTCCCCACCCCTACAGTTTAAGCAGAGTTAAGGGCAGTCTTCCCTGTCCTGCTGGTGGTTCTCTGCCTTCACCACTGTAGCAGCATCAGGCCATGCACCCCTGGAGAACACTCTAAGAACATTCTAGAATCTTTATTTCTGTCAAACCACAGTGATAATTCAAGAAGCTGG